TCTATGTAACCTCAAATTTAGAGAATATCATTGCAGTAGCAGATACTGATGGAAAATCAAACCTATGGCACCAAAGGCTTGGTCATATGAGCGAGAAAGGGATGAAGACACTTTTGTCAAAAGGGATGTTGCCGGATCTAAAGAGTATAGATGTCGGACTATGTGAGGATTGCATCTTTGGCAAACAAAAGAAAGTCAGTTTTGCAAAGATTGACAAGACACCCAAGGCAGAAAAGTTAGAGTTGGTTCATATTGATGTATGGAGACCATCTCCAATTCCATCTCTTGCAGGTTCACTATATTATGTCACATTCATCGATGATTCTACAAGGAAGGTGTGAGTTTATTTTCTGAAGAAGAAATCAGAATTCTTTGATACCTTCAGAAAATTGAAGGCCATGGTGGAAAATGAGACTGGTTTGAAAGTCAAACGGTTGAGGTCTGACAATGGAGGAGAGTACAGAAATAGTAGATTCAGAGATTTATGTGCAAACAATGAGATCAAGATGGAGACAACAATTCCCATGACATCGCAACATAATGGCGTAGCAAAGCGCATGAACATAACTCTGAATAAACGTGCCAGAAGCACGAGGATACATGCTGGTTTGCCCAAATTGCTATGGGCTGAAGCTATCAACACTGCAGCTTACTTGATCAACTGTGGGCCCTCAGTTCCCTTGGATGATGGAATACTAGAGGAAGTTTGGAGCAAGAAAGAAATAAACCTTTCACACTTAAGAGTGTTTGGTTGTATTTCTTATGTACACATAAATTCTGCTGAAAGAAGTAAACTTGATGCCAAGTCCAACAAATGTGTCTTTATTGGTTATGGTGGTGATGAGTTCAGTTACCGGTTTTGGGACTACGAAAATCGAAAGATCATCAGAAGCAGAGATGTCATTTTCAATGAGAATGTGATGTACAAAGACATGTCAACCATAGAATCAATACTGAAGCTGAAATAAAGGAATTTGTTGAGTTCGAGGAGATTTCTAGAAATGATGTTCAGATCAGATCTGAAGTAGTTCAAGAAGAACGAGGCACACCGGAACTAAGACTCTCCTCCAGAATTCCTAAACTAACCCAACGTTATTCGCCTTCTTTGCACTACTTGTTGCTGACTGACAATGGTGAACCAGAGTGCTATGATGAAGCAATGCAGGTGGAGGATTCAGTCAAGTGGAAGTCTTCCATGAAAGATGAGATGGACTCGCTTATGTCAAATCAGACGTGGGAATTAGTTGAATTATCACCAGGCAATAAAGCACTCCATAACAAGTGGATTTACAGGATCAAAAAAGAGCACGATGGGAGAAAACGCTACAAAGCAAGATTGGTTGTCAAAGGTTTTCAGTAAAAAGAAGGTATTGACTACAATGAAATTTTCTCTTCAGTCATGAAGCTATCTACAATCAGACTGGTGTTGAAAATTGTAGCTATAGAGAATCTACATCTTGAGCAGTTAGATGTGAAGAAAATTTTCCTTCATGGTGATTTGGAGGAAGAAATCTATATGAGGCATCCAGAAGGCTTCATAGAGGCAGGCAAGAAAAACCTGGTATGCAGGTTGAAGAAGAGCCTGTATGGTTTAAAACAAGCTCCTAGACAGTGGTACAAGAAGTTCGATAGCTTCATGGGTAGCAATGATTTTACCAGATGTCAAGCATATCATTGTTGCTACATCAAGAGGTTCGACAACAGCTTTATTATTTTATTATTGTACGTTGATGACATGATCGTTGCAGGCTCAGACATGCAAGAGATTATAAACTTGAAGCAAAAATTGTCGAAGTAGTTTGCTATGAAGGATCTGGGTGCTGCAAAGTAGATTATTGGGATGAAGATTAAGAGAGACATAAAGTCAGGGACTTTGATGTTATCAAAGTCTGAGTACATCAACAAAGTACTCTCCAGGTTCAACATGCAAGATGTTAAACTAGTAATTACACCTTTAGGTTTTCATTTTAGACTCTCTAAAGAACAGTCATCAAAGACGGAGGAAGAATGTGCACACATGGTGAAGGTGCCGTATGCCTCAGTAATTGGAAGTCTGATGTATGCCATGGTTTGTACTAAACCAGATATTGCTCATCCAGTGGGAGCTGTTAACAGGTACATGAATAATCCAGGCAAGGTACACTAGGAAGCAGTCAAATGGATCCTCAGATATCTGTGGGGTACTACAAACAAAGAACTTTGTTTCAAAGGCAGAGATATGATATTGACAGGCTATGTAGATGTTGACTTAATCGAAAATGTCAAAATCAGAAGGAGCACTATAGGGTATGTCTATACTCTAGGAGGTACTGTAGTGAGTTGGATTTCTCAACTATAGAAGATAGTTGCTCTCTTCACAACTGAAGCAGAATATGTCGCTGTTACGGAAGCCAGCAAGGAGATGGTCTGGCTTCAAAGTTTCTTGGAAGAGTTAGGCAAGAAACAAGAAAACAATGTCTAGTATTGCGATAGTCAAAGTGTTATCCATCTAGCGAAGAATCCGTCTTTTCATTCCAGGACGAAACACATACAATTACGATATCATTTTATCCGGTCTCTTCTGGAAGATGAGATTTTGAAACTTGAAAAGATTAGTGGAGCTTAAAATCCAGTAGACATGTTAACAAAGATGGTGACTACGGACAAACTGAAGTTATGTTCAGCTTCATCTGGCATGCTAGAGTAACAATACCATAAATGCTGCTGTATTGATCGAGGTGTGAAGACAGATTAAAATCAGTCTTCAAGTGGGAGATTGTAAAGTCAAACAAAGGGGGCACCGAAATTCGGTGCCCTAATTTTTTATTTTTTTATATAATAGGGTTAATTACATTTTAGTCCCTACACACTTTAGGGTATTTACAAGATTAGTCTTTAAGCTTCAACTATAAATACCCTAACCCATTTAGCTTCAAAATCATCCCAAATCATTTCTTTCTCCCAATACTAGAGAGCTTTCTTGTGAGTTGTGAGTGTTTTGTAAACACCTGTAAATTTTCTCTCTTTAGTAAAAATCTGCAGCAGTCCGGAGACGTAGACATAATTGGCTGAACTCCATGATCAATTTCGGGTATTATTTTTCCGTTTTTATTTCACATTCTCACTAATCTGGTTATAATGGAATTACTTGTTTATTTCCCAACATTGGATACATGCAAGATGAGAATGAGCTTGAGGCTTTTAGAATGTTTCGGAGAATGATTTTATATGGGATTGTTCCCGATGAAGTTTCCTTAGCCAGTATACTCGGTGCTTGTGCAAATGTTCAGAGTATTGATCAAGGGAAGCAAGTCCATTTTCTTGCAGTCAAATCTGGTTTAGATAAGAGCCTCTATGCAGGAAGTTCCCTTATTGACATGTATGCCAAATCTGGGGCCATTGGGGATTGCAGACAAAGTCCTCTATTATATGCCTCAATGGAGCGTGGTCTCCATGAACTCTATGATTGTTGGATATGCACCAAATGATTTAGATCGAGAAGTTATCCTACTAAAAGATATGCAAGTGGATGGATTGAAACCATCTGAAGTAACATACACTAGCCTTTTAGATGCCTGTAATGAACCTCATAAGTTGAACGTCGGAAGGCAAATCCACTGTCTTATAGTAAAGAGAGGCCTTTTGTATGGTGAAGAATTCTTGGGGGTTTCTCTCCTGTGCATGTACCTGAACTCCCTTAGAGATACAGATGCAAGAAATCTGTTTGAAGAGTTCAAAAACCGGTTAAGTGCCGTTGTATGGACTGCTTTAATTTCAGGTCATATGCAAAATGACTGCAAGGAGGCCTTACACTTCTTCCGAGAGATGCGTAGCTGCAATGTATTGCCCGACCAAGCTACATTTGTCAGTGTCCTTAGAGCATGTGCTGTTTTATCTTCTTTGCAAGTAGGCAGACATATCCATGCTCTAGTTTATAATACCGGTTATGTTTCAGACGAGTTAACAACTAGTGCCCTTGTAGATATGAAGGCTAAATGCGGTGAAGTTAAATGTTCTTTGCAAGTTTTCAATGAAATGAATAGCAAGAACGGTATTAGTTGCTGGAACTCGATGATAGTCGGGTTTGCCGAAATTGTTATGCTGAAATGCATTGAGAATATTTTTTGAGATAAAGCAAACACATATAATGCCTGATGATGTCACATTCCTCGGTGTTCTTACTGCATGCAGTCATGCAGGGAAGGTATCTGGAGTCGCCAAATTTTTGACACGATGGTTAATTACGGGATTAATCCAAGAGTAGATCATTGCGCATGTGTCGTTGATTTTCTTGGACGATGGGGGTTTCTTAAAGAAGCGGAGGATTTCATTGACAGCCTAAAGCTTGAACCCGATGCTATGATTTGGGCCGCACTACTCGGTGCTTGTAGAATACATGGAGATGAAATTAGAAGGCGGAGGACAGCAGAGAAACTCATTGAATTAGAACCCGAGAATTCTTCTCCCTATGTGCTGCTTTCTAACATATATGATGCAGCAGGAAACTGGGACGATGTTAATGCTCTGAGGTGGAGAATGAAGAAAAACGAGTCCAGAGGTTCCCTGGTTGTAGGTGGATAGTCGTGGGACAGAACACGAATTTGTTCATTGCAGGAGATAAGTCTCATCCTAAAGCTGATGAAATTGAACAAATTTTGAAGGATTTGGTTCCGATGAGAGAAGACGGGTTTGCACCAGAAGTGGATTCATTGTTGCTAGAGGAAGAGTGTGATAAAAGCATCAAATTGCAGTAGGTGAAAGGGGTATAATTTATATATCTTGTAAGTTTGGATTTCTTATTAGTAAACAAGTTTTTAAGTGTTTTACAATGCAAACAAATCCCTATTGGCCCAACCTTTCTAAACTTAGATTGAGAGTCAAGTTATTAATAACTTCATATGGATTCTTATGCCAAAAACAATTCCAGAGTTTCACTATAAATAGACCCCAAAATGATACCATTTTGTGCACCAAAATCAAACCATTAACGACTTCATAGTGTATCTATTCATTATATCACAATGGCCTCTTCTGTTAACTTCAACTTCCCTTATTTCTCACCTCCACCACCACACCATCCTTTTCAGCCACCTCCACCAGCTTACCCTCCGCCCTCGTCACCACCTCCACCACCACACCATCCGATTTCACCTCCTCCGCCGCCAAATCATCCGATTTCACCTCCTCCACCACCACACCATCCGGTTTCACCGCCTCCACCACCCCATGTACGTCCACCGCCAGCACCAATTCCTCCACCACCATCACCAAATAACCACACTGTTATAATCATTGTGTTCGTGTCATGCGGTGGAGTGTTCTTCCTCGCATTCCTCGCGGCCGCACTCTTTTGCTTCCTCAAGAAAAAGAAGAAGGCAGCACAAGAAGCCGATGTCGTACATGTCGATGAACATATGAAAATCAAGGAGGCCATTGTTGAAGGTCCCGATGGACCTCGCGCTGTTTTACTAGAGATTGAAGATGATATCCATATCGTTGAAGATATCGCAAAGACAGAGAGAATTGAAAAGGGTTCGAATCTCCACTCTTCTGCGATAGCTAATCTTAAAAACATTGAAGCAGCAGGTGCAGCTTCTTCAAGTTCTCATCATCATCAACTAGAACACAAGGCATAGTCTTGTTTCTATTCTATTCATTAAATAAATATATATTCATTTTAATGAATATTTAACAAAATGTATGGTTTTAATTTAACATAAATACCAAAGGGGAATGTGTTGAGATTTTCATGTTCATTTCTTCTGTTATTTCATGAATTATAATAAAAAAAAATCAGAAAATAAATGTTTTTCATAGTCAGGGTCACTTAAATACCAAAGGAAAATACCTTTGAATGGGTTTTTAAGGCGTTATCCTTTCCCTTGTTGGATATGGTGTGATGAGTCACTCGCACACGTACATTGTTATCACCGTCGTTCATCTAGTTCAATTCATTTCGTGTAATTATGTATCTTTGACATGTACTGTATATGTTTATCTTTCTAAACAAAAGATAGTTATCTATATTGTATTATATTTTTGTAGTAAAAATCCATAAATATTTTCTATAAATAATACTTACTAATTTATAGTATTTACTACAGCATCTTCCCTCCCATCTTCTTTCTTCTCTTTTTTATTTTATTAATTTCATTTTTTTTATTTGCTTAAGAGAGACTCGGGCTTTCATCACCATACATTTTTATAATACGACTTTTAATATTTTGTTTGGTATTAATTATTAGATAAATTATACACATGATCATTTAATTATAAGACAATTTTAATTTGATTACCAATCATTTAATTTTATTAATATGATCACTTAAATATTTATTAGTAAAATATGATATTTCGTATATAAACCAGTGGCGGATGCATTAAGCCCCTATAAGAGCCAAGTGCATCTTATTATTTTGGAAAAGTGGTTAAATTTAGCTTAATGTATTAAGAAAAAAAAAGAAAAAAATTACAATTTTGCATACCCATTATTTTTAAGAAACGAAAATTAAAATTTTAAACCCTCATTCTTAAATTTATGGATCCACCACTTATATCAACTATAGTGTTTAATGGCGGAGAAAAGTAATTTTCCTGAGAAAATTTTAAAAACAGCCTACGGTGATGACGATGTCATCATAGTTCGGAGCTCTTACGAGAGTTGTTTTTACTAGGACTGAGTTCAATTTAAAGTCTCTCAGTTTGAAATGTGATAAATTGTAGACAACAAAATAAAAGAATAATACAAGTTTAAACTACGTAATGAACACTCAAAGCAATATTAAACTACGTAATGAACACTAGAAGTAATATTTTCCTCTACATCCTTAGGGGGCGTTTGGATGGGGAATGTGGGATTCCCCATTCCCCGTTTGGTTTGGCCGGGAATGTCATTTCCGGTAATATTTTATTATCAATAGTGGATTTTTTTGGTATATTACCGGGAATGTCATTACCTCCATTCCCTTAGGTATTGTAATATTACCGGCGTTTTGGACTAAAATGTCTTTAAATTTTTATTTTTTTTTCAAAAATATCATTCTTCTGTCATTGAATAATAAAAAATTCTACGAAGGTTAAATTACAAATTTATCCTTAAATTATTTTAGATTTACAAAAAAAAGTCTATAATTAAAATTTTATATGAAGTTCAGGGGTTAAAATAAAATTTTGCCCTTTCATTAAACTATTTTTATATTTTTAATTTTGTAAAAAAATTATATAAATATTATGAATTTAATTTTTTAAAGAAAATATATAAATATTTTACAACTTGTAATATTATACAAATATATAATAAGGACAATTTAGTCAAATATACATTCCAATAATCTTTTATTTCTTTAACCAAACACGGTAATCTTACATTCCTGCTAAACCAACCAAACACAAAATACAACATTCCCAGTAATCCTATTTCCTGATAATCTTTTTATTCCCACTGATAATCTTGCATTCCGTGAACCAAACGCACCCTTATGATTCTTAAAGGTAAGCCTTCCACTCATCTGAAACTGTACTTCCACCACGACAACAGGCATGCACAAGAATTGAGGTGCCCCCATATTTTCTCCATTTTTCTACCATTAAACACTATAGTTTATATAAAATATTGCACGTCTTAGTGGTTGAGGTGCGTCCAATTTTCTTTAAATCTAAATTTAATTTCCTAATGTGTACTTTTTCTTTTCAATTTAATTTTCTATCAATTCAGACGGTGACATATATCATTACTCCTTACTTAATTAAAGGAAGAAAATTAATGGTTTAAAAATTTAAGAACTAGAAAATATTTTTTGATTAGGTCATGACATATGTCACTCTCTAATTGAATAATTAAACATTTTGAATTAAATTAAAATTAGAATTAAATTGATAGAATGTGTAAGTAATGAGAACCAAATATATAATTATATTAATTTCTTATATTTAGGGTCCCTAAAGGAAATGTTCTCTAATTTCTCTCTGAATGTTTCCTTTTCCGTATTTATTTTCCAACGCTGGTGCACTTGTCCAAGCTGGAAAATAAATTCTTTTGACATCACAAAATCCACTCTCGTGGATTTTCAATCCACGGTGATTACACAATGGTTTATTATTTTCAAATCAGCGGGTATGGGTTTTTGTTTGGCAGTTTCATAATTTCATTTAATTCAAGAATCCCAATCGACTAATTTGCTCCCACGAGCCTTATTACTCTCTCCACTTTTCGAATAATAACCCTCTATGGAACCATTTGGGTTTATGGTTTCTTATCACGAATCTGGTGACAGACTAGGATTCGTTGGCGTCGAAATTACAAACTGATGTTCTGGCTATTTGGGCACATAATCATCCGACCACCGATGTGTCTAGTTTCTTGGATTTTGTCAATCTCTACCTTTATTTGATTCTCAGATTATACCTGGGATTTTAGGATATCTCGTATCCGACACACATATGGCGGCATGCAAGGGGACTCGATCAACAAATGGCGCCCTGGACTGGGCCCGATCAATGGACGAACAATGAGCCAGGCTTTCACACGAAATCGGAGAGATGGGTATCATCATTGCTGGAGTTTAAGTGACAGACCCAATACTGGGTGTGGGGAACGTGCTCTTCAGCGCTTCTGATCCTCGAACTGTGGTAAGTTATGGTCCGCTTGATACTTTGGTCCTTGGAACTGAACTGCAACTGACGCGAGACATCCAACTTTTAAAGCTAATTAACCTCAAGGTATTCCTATCCTGGTGCTGCCTTACACTTATATTTTTGATTCAGGAACACCGACATGATTATTTCCATTTAGATTTCTTGTCCAATTTTAATAAGTATTACCATAGAATGTGTTTAATTTGGAGTATGCGTTACTAGACAATTGCTCAACCTCTTACTTGGGAGAATAATTGTACATGGAATCATGGTTGGGGTATGTTCTTAGTTATTTCCAACAAATGCTTACCTCCTACTCACCATATTATTGCGATGTCATTATCACACTGCATAAGAATAGGGACGTGCATTGTCACGAGATTGCTATGGCATATATACATGATCTGGTTTATTGATATTAACACCTTGGATAGCATATGGTTTACTTGGAGGGACTGTCAACAAAATAACCATTATATTCATTGGCTTATTTGGCATTTTCTGTACTAGCGACATACTAGCCTTGTGTGGATTTCCCCAATTTTGTACTTAGAATTCCTTGCTATTTATGTGATACAAGGTACCTGGTGGCATGAAGGTAATGATTTTTACTATGTGGGACTTGTTCAGCATGAATGTGGTTTGTTTTATTTGGTTTTGCTAATTTTGGGTTGTGCCAATGTGATTGGTACGAGATCCCACCTGTGCTGGTATAAGACAGGTGTGGTTCTCTTAGGCCATCGATTATCAATGCGACGTGTATATCAGTGGTGTTGTTTCATGGACAGGAGATCATCATTACTCTACTAGAGTTGGGATTATTGTAATATAGATGTGCTCCATTCCTAACATATCTATGTATCCAAGACGTGGTTCAAACCAAGTGTCTGCTAGGCAGGTGGATTTGAGGACCATTTGTACGGCTAAAAAGAAGACCTGTGCTCAAATGCAAGACCACCAAGATCTAATTTAGATATTTAGTTAAGCAGTTAGTTAGTAGCTTTAATGTCATTTGATTGGGTTGTATTATTCATAGTGTAGGTTTATTTCGGTTTCAATTGGGTTGTACATATTCCTGTGTAGTTAGTAATTTTTTGTTGTTGTAATGTTCTGGTTCCAACGCAGAGAAAGCGAAGGAGAATGGGAAATAGAGGGATTGTTAAGTTGGCATATGGGTGCGATGCAAACAAGGTATATACTTTATTATTTTACTTTTCAATTCACCGGACCCCTGGCTATGCAATTATGACATGGTTTGGGGGTTCTTTGGTCATTGAAATCTACTTTTTAGATACTCGATGCGAGGTTCTGGATATGTGGTTTATACGGATTGTTGATACATTATGTCCCCCGCATGGTGTACTGAACTAATTGGAAATATTTATGTTGAGTGGTTGTAGGGCGTGGATCCACCCTTTATAAATTCTCTCAATGATAGTTGGGTGCATGATTGGCCTCAGCCTTTGCAGGGTTATACCGGTGACAACCTGTTTGGTATATTACAAACAGAGTGGAATAAGGAGGTTTTGCTGTTTAGGTATATCCTAACACGCATCTTTTATGTCCATATAGTTTCTATTACGTGGGTTACATATACTGCTATGGATGTGCCTTTATATTTGTATGCTCGTTACGTCACATTATGGGCCACTAATTGGACTCACACAACATTAAAATCTCATTTAAAATGAGTATCAACCTACATACAATATTATCGAATTAGGTGGTGGATTCTCATACGAATTTTGATGCAAATAATGTGCGTAGATAATAGTTACAATTCCCTTTTTTCCCAAAACTATTAAAATTTGAAAAAATCTATTTTCTGGCCAATCTCAGCGGAATTACATCAGTATTTACAACTTGCAATTAGTTTATTAACAAGATTCAAATGAACGGATGGCAAGATTGCATATCAATTTCTTGTATCATACGCAAGATACAATTTCATCCATATCATTCCTCTTCTACCTATACGAGTGTGAATACATTTAAAACCTAC